ACGGGTGTTCGACAAACCATTTACAACTCGAGAATTTGAATCCCACAAGCCTCAACACAACCGCTCAAAGATGTGCCCTCTACAAGACTTCACACCCAAGACTTAAGTCACATAAGTCTTGTACAACAAGAAGAGTAATCTTCTTCAACCTCACAACAAAACTCTCGCAAGAGTAGAAATGAGAAAATGATTAAACTCTATGGATGACAAGAACACTCTCTTGAAAATAAATAGTTTTCTCTTAAAATAAATTATATTTGAGGAAGGAATTGATGGAGGATTAATACCACAAGAAAGAGGTGTTTTTAGAGTGTTTCAAGTATCTAAAAATGACCAAGGAAGAGGAGTTTAAATAGGGTAAAGAAAATATATCTGTTGGTCCAAGAAAAGAAGTGAAATATGAAAAAATAATATAAAAATCGATTATTTTATTAAAAAATCGATTATCAGTTTTGCTTCTTCATAAAATTCATCCAGAGGCAAAAAATCGATTTTTGCAAAAATAAAAATCGATTTCTGGAGCGAAAAATCCAAAGACTCTAAAAACATGCATGTGCGTGGGGATAAATCTTTTTTGTCCAAATCCTCTTGTTTTCCACAAGATAACAGGGTGATTTGATGCCCCAATCACATCAATTATCTCAATATTCAAATTTTGAATATTTATGGATAATAGGAGTGTAGAAATTGAGTCCTAAAAATATGTTGTGTGTCAAAGGATGTCTAAAAATATTTGAATAAAATATTTTTGCTTATCAAAAATATTTTTTAATATTAAAATAAGTATTTTTATAAATGTTCGACACACCTTTGGTAACTGACACAATAAAAGCATTTTTGAACAATTTCAAAAATATTTTTCAACTGACACCCAAATAACCATAATTTTTTTATAATTCTCATTAAAATAATTTTGGAGTGAAGAATATTTTTGTGATCCTTACAATATTTTTTAAGACTCAAATAAATTAAAAGTCTTCGAAAATCTTCTTCTTCACTTTCGTAAGGTGCTCTCTTAGGCGTCTTGGTCTTCATTAAATCTTGTGCTCCTTCTTGAATACTTCAAGGGATTTTGGCACTTCAAGTCTTTGTTTTTGTGAATATAGCACTTTATTCTTGACTTGAATAACTTTTGTTTGTCAATTATCAAAACATGCGAGTCAAAAAGGGTTGAAGTCATTCATTCCTACAAGATTTTTGTTTCCTTAAAAAACAAATGTTGTCGGAAGGCCTGGATGATATTTCTAGGACAGAGGGAGTATTATTCAAAGTTCTAGTTTGAACACATTTTGTGATATTTACGTAAGAGAAAATATAAGAATATGAGAAATAGTTAAATTTGTGATAATATTAGTTTTTAGTTTTTTGTTAATGTTTGAGAAACGTGAAAATTTCAATTTTTATTTCTAGTTTCATAAGTTACACAAATTTATAAAAACATTCTACAAAACAACTTTCCAATAATTTTAAAATTCTCAATAGAATTCATTTATGACATGATAATTTCAATTTAATTATTTGTATAATAACAAGTCGATGGAATCCTATGCATAATGTATTGGTGCAGGTTGAAGTATCCTGTATGGGGCAAAAGTTGGTGCATTCCCTAAGTTTGAAATATGTACGAGATGCCATATGGTTTCCACAACTCATGGAGTCTTTTAGCCCCAAATCATCACACTTTCAAGAAGGCTACTACCCAAAGGGACAATCAATTCTCAGTTGTATTATGCCATTAGGTTATGGACCAACCCTGTAGTCTCACCTTGGGTTACTAAATTATGTATAATTGATTACACATGGAAGCACACCCTAATACATTATATATTCAAATCTAAGAATTCTTTGTATTTTATTGTAATAGTGATCCCATGTGTTATAAGTATATCACTGAATGTCTTAGCATTCTTCTTTTTTAAGTCACTACGCCAAAAATAGCATCAGAGCACTACTGAAAGACAATTGTTTCCGAAAATAATGTATTTATAAAAATAGACTAATTTTTGTTGCCTAGATAACATTTGTCCGAATAATACGCTAATAGTTGGATTTAAAGTTTTGATAAACAATAATCTAGTAATAGTAGTCCATGTCTTATTAGACTGCGGTTTGTATTGCCAAAGTTGTCTATATTACGTTAAGAATACGTCCTTTACGCAGTATTCAGACATGGTATGTTAGACTTATGTTTAATGAAAAAATAATCTATGACTTTCATATAGACTACTATTTTAGATACAATAGTGTAAACTAGGTTAATTCTGCTGTCTGTAATAAGTTAACAATACTCTTTCTAAACAATAGTCTAACATGTATTTCAGACTTCTATTTATAAAAAAGGTTATCTAAGGTTATCATACAAACTATCATTTTCAGATACGGTAGTGTAAACCAAGTTCAGACAACTATGTTTAACCGTAGTTTGACAAGTATGTTAGACTTCTATTTTTGAAAAAACACTTGTCTTGCAATCATACAGATTTACATTTTGATAAATATTTTAAAATTTTAAGCAAAAAACAAAGTGTAACATTATTTCGAATCAAAATATTTTTTTAAAGAAAATTTTAATTTATCCAAAGAAAAAAAATAAGGGAGTGTAACGGGCCTAAAAACCTCATAACAAGAACAAAGTCTAAAAAAGATTTAATGATAGAGTATATGTAAAAAATAAAAAGTCTCATTATTTCTTATTTTAAAATAATAAGTCTCAATAAATAAATAATATTTATTTAAAATATTGGCTAACTATTAGGCCGGTTTGTTCACCCTAAATCAAGACGTTAGAGCCTCTTTAACCCGCTTCCATCCTGGATAGTTATTTAGCAAGAAAAGAAAATAATGGTGGAAAATTCGGGAGGAGAAAATAAAATTATTTTGCCCTCTCTTGGTTGGATATTTTAAGATGGAATGAAAATAAATCTATTTTAGCTTCTAATTAATAGAATGATGTAAAATTATACTATGTAGTACCTAATTAAGCTTTCCTTCCATTTTAGGAGGTAAATAATGAAGCAAAATAAATGGAAGTGTTTTCATCCTCCCTTAATTTTATTTTACTTCCAAACACATGATATCCACTCACTTTTTTCATCTCTTAGGCAGCATTCTGTTCAACTTATTTTTCTATTTATTACTTATTCTTATTAAAATCATATCAGATCACACCAGATCAGATCAGATTTAATTGGATTAGATCAGATCCAATGAAATCAGATCTCATCATATCCAATCTGATCAAAGCAGACCATATCAGATTAGATCAGGTCCCATCAAATCTTATCTATACAAAATTAATAATAATAATATTACTATTATTATTATTACTATGATTATTTTGATTATAATTATTATTACTGTTGTTATTAATATTATTACTATTGTTATTACTATTATTCATATTATTATTATCATTATTGATTTTTTTATTTATTATTATAACTATTACAATTATTATGATTATAGTTATTATTAGCATTGTTATTATTTCTATTGCTATTACTATCATTATTTTACTACTATTGTTATTATTATTATTATTATTTTTTCTATTACTATTATTTTATAATTTTTATAATTATTATTACTTTAACTATTACTATTATTATAACTATTATTACTATCTCTATTACCATTATTATTATGATTATATTGATTATTTCTATTGTTATTATAATTATTACTATTACTATTAGTATTATTATTATTTTTACTACTATTATAATTATTACTGTTATTATTATTATTACTATTACTATTATTATTAATATTTCTATTATTATTATCATCATTTCTTTCTTTATTACTATTATTATTAGTATTATTATTATACTTTTTTATTAATATTATTATTCTTATTACTATTATTGTTCGTACTATTATTATTATTTCTATTTATTATTATTATTATTACTATTATGATAAATATTTCTATTATTGTTATTGTTATTATTAATTTAAATCGGAATTATATTATTATTATTATTTCTATTATTATATTATTATAATAACTATTATTATTATTATTATTATTATAGTTATTATTATTATTACTATTTTTATTACTATTATTACTATTATTATTATTATTTATTACAATCATTATTAATATTTATATTATTTTAATTATTATAATAATAATTTTAATTTGAATTTGAATTATATGAGATTTGATCTAATCAGATCAGATTAGACTAGATTAGATTCAATCAAATCAAGTCAGATCAAATCAGATCAGATCGATTCAAATTAGAGCAGACCAGTTTAAATTAAAACTCCAAAAATCAGATCAGATCAGGCCAACAGAACGCAACCTTCTTTAGTACGTACTTTCTTTCCATCCATAGAAAAAAGGTAAAGTTTATAACAAAAATCGAAGTTTTTACTTGAGTTGGTATATGGTACATCCGGACGTACCTCGAACTAGGTACATCCCAGTAGTACTCATTCTGAAATAAAGTAGTACTCATTCTCGTACAAATATAATCATTCATTTCGAAATGCGTAGTACACATTCTGACAAAGGTAGTACTCATTTTAAAATAAAGAAGGAATCATTTTTACACATTTGTCTAATATAATTATAGTAATAAATAGCGTAGTGTTCATTTAAAAAAACAAAACTCATTCTCAAATAAGGAAATATTAATTCTGAAATAAAGTATTGTTCAATTTTTTCACAATTAAAAAGTTCAGTACCATCATCAACTTATTCATCCATACCCTTTTCGTTGGATCTTCCTCTATTCGATTCTTTTCTACTCATTTATACTCTCTGAGTATGAAGAATTTAAAACCTAGGTTTATTCATGTTTGTATTGAATAAGAATATGATAAATTTCATAAGTGCTGATACTCCTTCTCAAATCTGATGGTACTCATTGTCATATATAAAAGTTTTCATATATGTTTTAGGCATTGGATAAAAAATTTGTAAAATTTACAAAAATACTATTGTGTACTACAGTAGCATATAATTTGCCTTTTTACTTCAGTAGACAAAAATCACAAATTTCGAAATTTCTCACGTTTTACTCTTTTCAATACAAGCCCAACCTTCTCCACCTCAACGACCCTTCTCCACCTCAACGACAGCCATCGTCTTCTCCTCCCAAATCCCTCTCTTCCAGAGCGGAGATCGAATCTATTGTTCGCAGGATTTTCTGTTAGGGTTCATTGGGGACGACGGTCAATCGAAGAAATTGATCTGAGCGATGGATTCGAGCAGGCGAGCAGTGGAGTCGTATTGGAGGTCCCGGATGATCGACGGCGCGACTTCAGACGAAGACAAGGTCACTCCGGTTTACAAGCTGGAAGAGATCTGCGAGCTTCTCCGGTCGTCTCATGCTGGCATAGTAAAGGAAGTTTCCGAGTTCATCCTCAAACGTCTTCAACACAAATCCCCTATTGTCAAACAAAAGGTCGCCTATTTATCATTTTCGTTGTATGCAGAAATTTTTTATTTAGGATTTTATGTGAGTTGAGCAGAAGTTAAAGTATCTGATCTTGATTAAGGGGTGGTTAGTGAATGTAATGGAATGCACAAAATGGAATGGTAACATGAATGCTATTAGAAGTTAATTAGCTTTTTCGTCTGACCTTTTTACTCTAACAGTTGATTCAAATAAGAAATGACGACTAAAGCTGTACAATTCAGTTGAACAATTCTAAGGGGGTTTCATCCTTATATGAGCTACATCATCTCCACATATGTAGAATTGGATAGCTGATGTTATCACCAACTTCTGTTGTTAATGTGCCGTGAAAGGCAGAAATTAAAACTAAATACGACAGTTGTAAAAAAAAGGGAAGCAAGGGATCATTAGGTTGGAGGCTCCTGTTTAGAAATCTGCAATTGAATTAGACAGTACATTGAATGTGTAAAAATGTAGTACTCCATCCCCAAAATAGGTTCTTGTATGCAATTGGCACAATTGTTAGGGTCTTAGGGAAGCATAATTGTGTGATTGAGTTCTATAAAAAATGGAGATGAATATGAACCACTAAATTCTTTCTTTGAAAGAACAACAACAACAACATCAACAAAGCCTTATCCCACTAGGTGGTGTCGATTACATGGACCATACGACGCCATTGTTGCCAATTATGTACGCAAAGGTGTCCCTTGAGCATTTCGTGCCAAGTCTTCTTAGGTCTACCTTTTCCTTTAGCCACATGGCTATTCACCATTTGATCAACTCTTCTCACCAGAGTTTTCACCATCTTTTCTACAATAGGTGCCACTCTAACTTTAGCTCTCATATCTTCATTCATTATTCTATCCATATGTGTATGAGTGGTCATCCATTGAAGCATTTTCATTTTAGTCACACTAACCTTGTGTTCATGTTCACTCAATGTTGCCCAACACTTCGTTTCATACAACATAGCTGGGTCTAATCACAGTACGGTAAAATATTCCATTTAGTTTTAAAGCTAGCTTTTTGTCACATATAAAGCGCGAAGCACTCCGGCCTTTTGACCAAATGGATTGAATCTTGTGGTTAACATCATCCTTTATTTCTTCATTGTCTTGAACCATACTCCCAAAATATTTAAATATCTTTACTTGTGGTATAATATTTTCTCTGAATTTCACCTTGATGTTACTATTTCTCCTTCCATTGCTAAACTTACACTACATATAATCTATTTTAGTGTGACTTATACGCGAGCCATGCAACTCCAAAGACTGTCTCCACGAATCCAACTTCCCATTCAAATCCTCTCGCGATTCGCCCATAAGGATGATGTCATTGGCAAAAAACATACACGATGGGTACGTGTTCTTGGATATCCTTGGTAAGAACTTCCAAGACTAGTGTTAAAAGATATGGGCTTAACAATGACCCTTGGTGTAATCCTACACCGATGGGAAATTTTCTGACTTTTCACGCTTGTTGTAGCACCATCGTACATATCCTTAATCACACGAATATACACAATCCTTACAGCCCTTACTCCTTTTTTCACTAATACTTTCCACAATACTTCTCGTGGAGTCGTGGTACCCTGTTATATGCCTTTTCCAAATCAATAAAAGTCACGTGTAAATCTTTCTTCTCACTTTAATACCTCTCCATCATTCTCCTCACGAAGAATATAGCCTCTGTTCTGGCATAATACCAAATCAATTCTCTGACACCGAAGTCTGTTGTCTCAACCTCCGTTCAACCACTCCTTCCCACAACTTCACCGTATGGCTCATGAGTTTGATCCCTCTGCAGTTTCCACAACTCTGAATATCCTCCTTATTCTTGTAAATAAGAACCATAATGCTCTTCGTCCATTCGTTAGACATCTTCTTAGATCTTAGAATCTCGTTAAAAAGCTTAGTTAGCCACCAAATGTCTTTTCCTCCTAAACCTTTCCAAACTTCAATCGTGATGTTGTTTGGACCCACTGCTTTGCTATTCTTCATCCGTTGTAAGGCATCCTTTACTTCAATTTCTGAACTTCTCGGATAATAATTGAATTTTTGGTTCTCCCTCGTCTGTAGCCAATCGGAGCATGAGAGATTCACATTTGCCTCATAAAAAGATCATTGAAGTAGCTCTCCCACCTTTGGTTTATGCTTTTATCAGAGACCAAAATTTCACCATTCTTTAATGCACTTAACTTGATCCCAATCTTGCATCCTTCTTTCTCGACCCTTTGCAATCTTGTATATACATCTTTCCCCTTCTTTAAAAGAAAATGTGAACATAATTTTGAGACCAAAAAAATGGAAAGTTAGGACCTAGTTGAGGGACATATAGAGTAATTGTTATTTGCTTATAAATATGAGAGTAATTGTCACTTGCCAATTAATTTTATATTTATATATTTGCATAAGTATTAGGAGCTATCGTGGGTATGCATGGGGCATTTGTATGTACTATGTTGCCCCATTTTTATCTTTATTTCCTTTTCCTTTTTGTTTTTCCAATTTGCAATTTCCACATATTTCAAAATGTGGGAAAGCTTAAAAAGTGGGCAGTGAGTTGCTAACAGGGATGGTGACGTGTACTGTTTGCCTTCTTTTTTGCATTTTGGAATAGTTTCTAAGCTCAAAGAAATTTAAAAAATTTGTTCTAAAGGGAAAAAGAAGTGGACAAGGAGACCACACATGCTGTTTTCCACTCCATTTTTTCAAGGGAAAGAGAAGAACAGCTGGCAGAAGTGTCACTAGCTGTTTTCCACTCCATTGAGTACATTCTCAGAAAAATGAAAACAGAAAAACTAGTGAACATGCATTTAAGCTTTTAAAAGATGTGCTGTTATTGTAATCTTGCAGCTCAGAATGTGAAATAGAAGGTTGAATCTATGGAGGTTTGCCATAAGTTTGTTTCACTGTACAACTACACTATTTCATGCTCTAAAAAAACTCATTTTCCCATCTTACTTGAATGCGTTCAATTTTATATGTAGTATGCAATTTTAAGATCTGTTAAGATTTTTATCCAGGCTTTACGGGTAATAAAGTATGCAATAGGCAAGTCAGGTACGGAATTCAGAAGAGAGATGCAAAGGAATTCCGTGTCTATACGCCAGTTAATTCACTATAAGGGCCAGCCGGATCCTCTAAAGGGGGATGCACTAAACAAGGGAGTGCGTGAAACAGCCCAGGAAGCATTATCAGCTTTATTTTCTTCTTCAGATGACCTTAAACCTGCTTCCAGAGAGAATCTAGGTGGTCGAATCCAAGGCTTTGGTAATAATAACATTGAAATGCCATCAGAAGATAATAAGTCATTTATCAGTGAGATTGTTGGCATTGGCAGTGCTACGATAAAGCATGGACTAAGTAGTTTAACACAATCTCAATCCCTGAAAAAGAATGAAACTGGAAGTTATAGAGGTCCAAATCTTCAGCGATCATTGACAAGGGAAACAGATCATTCAGATCGATATGAAGGGATAAATTCTTATAATGAATCTCAGAACAGTTCTGGGTTTCCAAGAAATGCTGGTTCTCAAAGTTGGGGTCAGGATCTCAAGTCATCTCATACAGAAACAACCAGCGAGAATTTGGGAGTGAGGTCCAGTGAGAAGACCCGTGAGGAGAGGCTATTGGAGACAATTGCAACATCCGGCGGTGTTCGCTTGCAGCCGACTAGGGATGCCCTGCAGGTATTCATGGCAGAGGCTTCGAAGTTGGATCCTTTGGCTTTAACTAATGCCATTGAATCAAAGCTCCAGTCTCCATCGTGGCAGGTCGTTCTCTTCCTACATCTATGTTGAGATTTGTATACTTATATGGTGATTTACAGAAGAGCTCCACATTAATTCTCCCTACATCCCATAATAATGTTCCACTTTACCATTCACAAGAACAAAATGTATTAACCTTTTTTCCGATTTTCATTGATCATTTGATAAAATAAAATAGTTTTCTCACCACTTATTTTATAGAACTTTGAAGTAGTTTTTGAATTTATATGAGGTTTATTTTTAAATTCTACACCAACCTTTATACTCCCACATTCCAAAAAGAACATCACAGTTCACTATTTAAAAATCATGGGAACTTTTGTTTATTTGTGCGTTTTCATTGATTATTGAATAAAATAAGATAGTCTTGTCACCTTTTATTTTGTTTTGTATAACTTTTGATGTAATTTTTAAATATGTAAGTTTTATGTTTTATTTTTATACCAACATTTAAATAAAATGAATTAAAAAAACTTAAAATTCCACTCCGTTTTGTGTAATGTGATGTTTTTTTTGGGACAAAGGGAGTATAAATTAAATTGAAAATGATTTTGGTCAAACATCGTAATCTGAAATTGGAACATTATTTTGGGAAGAGGGAGTATTCTTCCTAGTGAGCTTTCCCTTGCGCATTTCCGAATTTGTACTCTTTATTTCAGTTGTACACTTTTCCCTATACCCCGTCCCATATTCAAACAGACATTAGATATTCTCACATAGCATTGTGCAGTAGTTTTCTGATTTTTATTTTTAATTCTTCTACCAGGTCCGTGTAAAAGCCATTTGTGTCCTCGAGGCAATCTTGAGAAAAAAAGATGATGAACATTTTGGTATTATAACATCTTATTTCAGTGAGAATAATGATCTGGTGGTAAAATGTTCTGAATCCCCCCAAGCATCTTTGAGAGAAAAGGCAAACAAGGTAAACATTTTATTCCAAGTGCTGATATCATTCTGATTTTCACTGTCCAGGGACTCAGGGAGAGGAATATGTTATACTTAAGTTTAAATCTTCACAAGATATTTCTACATTTGATCTCCAAGTAATTGACTTTCTATGTACCTTAGTAATTGAAGGGATATGTTTGGCAGGTGTTGAGTCTTCTCAATGTTGGACAGGCTACTATACAAACTCTCCATTCTGTGGCTCATTCTGACAAACTATCAAAAGAAGAGACTGTTCAGATGCCTGATTTAATAGACACTGGTGACAGTGATAATCCATTTAGAACGGACAATTTAGTACAAATGCAGAATAACGAAAATGTATCGAGTACATCAACCTCTACTACTGCCCCTCTGATTGATGATCTATTTGGACTTGGTACCGATGTGAACACAAGTGTACATAAAAATGATGATGATCCTTTTGCAGATGTTTCATTTCATAGCAGTGCTGTGAAAGAGCATGAATCAGATATCTTCTCTGGGATGACACTTGATGGATCAGGATCTGCTGAGAGTCATCTAGCACATTCTGGAAGTGGTCCTGAACCATATGATATTTTTGGTTCCATGTCTGAAATTTCCAAAGAGGAAAATATTCCTAAAAGCGATATTTATGACTTAATGCCTGGTTTGTCCTTAAAGGGAAATGAGTCTTCTGTAAGACCAAATGGTAGCTCAGGAGGAACAACCTTTGATAATATCTTACTGAAATCCAACCCTGATCCTGGCCACAAGGTTTCCAATGATGTCTTCAACAGCAGTTCACCTTCTCAGGTTTCTAGTTCAAGTGCTATTCCCTCATTTCATTTGGGTGCAATGCCATATAATATGCCATCTGGCTTTATGTTGAATCCATCATTAGCTTCTCAAACTGGCACCATAAGCAATCTTTTTGCCCAGCAACAATTCCTTGCAGCCATGTCCACTTTCCAGCAAATGGGAAGCCTGCCGCAAGCTACTGGTGCTAATCCCGATTCTCTTTCTTATGGAGGTTTCACTTCCTCTGCACTTCCTGATATTTTCAATGCCAACATTCCCACTAAAACTACAACATCTTTGATGAACAATCAAAAGAAAGAGGATACTAGAGCGTTTGATTTTATCTCAGTAAGTTCAGTTATGTGCTTTCACAGTTTTTCTTTATCATTTTATTTTAAAGCATTATGATGATGGTGTACAATTTTGGATTCATCTCCTTGCAGTCAAGTATTTATTTACTCCCTCTATCCCAGAGTGGCTGTCACTTTACAGTTACTTTGCCATTTAGGTTCTGGACTTCGTCTGACCCTGTATTTATACATTGATGCATCTTGTAAAAATATACTACGTAATATTTTTAAACTACATTTCTAAATGACTCTTTCAATATTATGTTTTTATCACAATTTAATTAATTTTCTTGAATTTCATACTCAAAGTTTATGAAGTTTGACCAATAAAAGTCAAATGAGAAGAAAGATATAGGACGGAGGGAGTCATTTTGTAATGTATGTATATATTTCTTAGTCTCTTTATACAAGAAATAGATGATTAAACTGAAATTAAACCTTTTAATTTCTGGTCTCGAGTTTGACTCTATATGGAAGGAGTTACAACTTACAACTTGCCAAACTTTTTATTTTATTGCCTCAACTTTTCTCTCCTTCCAATTTTCCTCTATTGTGGCATGATTTTGCATGAGGAAATGGCCTTTTAGATAGAAACAATTGGAGAACTAGGATTAGAGTTATTGCTTAGACCATTGGGCCTTAGTTAGTAACTTGTGCTTATGTGCTTTCTGTATTTTCTGGGCTTAGGGTATAGTTGCTGGTGTCAGTATGTGTGCTTTCTTGTGTTTGTGCTTTTACTTTGTTCGTGGTACTGTGTTTACTATGCCTTTGCATTTGCTTCTGTATTTAGTCTGGGTTTTCTTTGAAATAGAATCTCTCCCTCCATGTAGGAGTAATGCCTGCGTGCATACACTCTCCCAAGACCCTACTCTTCTGGGATTTACTGGGTTTGTTTTTATTGAGTCATGAATTTGCACTCTATTGTTTATGAATTTTCCATCGAGAATCCAGGATGGACCATGTGTCATTAGCTAATTAGGTTGATGTGTCATAAGCTAATTTTGTTTTAAGTACTTTGGACTTCATAAAATTAGAAAGCTAAGATAGACGATTATGGTTTAGTTTTCTAGAAAGTATCAACCACTCATGGTGAGATTGTGACTCAAGTCTCTCTTAGTACTTTAGTCACTAGCATTGTATTAGTGACATTATATTCCCTTTGGCGGGGAATCTGTGCTTTGACTGCAATAACTATTGAATAAGTTTATCCCAACCGCATAGGAGGATCGAGGCTAGTGATCTTTTCTTAATGTAGATGAACAAAAGAGAACTTATCAGATCTTTATATAATGCATTCCACCCGCCCCCCTGTTGTTTCAGGATCATCTGGCTGCTGCCCGTGACCCAAAAAGAGTGATTTGAGGCTCTGAGCTCTTGCACTTGTGTGGGCGCTTTTATGTCATGGCAGTTCTCTACAGTTTTAGCCAGGATTTCAGACCATGACGAAAAGGGCAATCTGGCTATTAGGCAAGGTATCTTTGTCTGGAATTTAATTCTTTTTTTTAAGTTGTAATAATGCTTCTTTTAGCTATTTTATTAGGATTTAGCGTTGTGTTGGGAACAATTTATATTGTTTTATTTTTTTCTTTTTCTTATTTCTTTGGCATCACAGAAGTGTAATAATGATCATAATACTATTAGTAGTACAAGAACAAAAAAGACAGCGAATTCTTCTTCTGTGATGCTTGTTGTAATCGAAGATGAGAACAAGAGGGTGAAGTTTGTGAATACTCCATATATAATTTCTTTTAGATTTGTAATTGTGCAGTGGATTCAAATGCTTGCCTTTTTCTCACTCTCGCAAGATAAAGAATGCTTTTTGTACATGTGCACCAAGTTGTACACCACCTTTTTTTTAACTACAAAAGGGAGCTTTTTGTCCTCACGCCAAATGTTGTTTTTGTGACATGCATCTTTGAGTGGTATTGCACATATAACATTTAGCTACCCGTTTGGTTTTTTGCAAAATTCAAAATATAATAAGGTTCCTTGTTTTTTTAATGCAAATACTTGCCATATTTGTCACATACCACATATGTCCTGCTTTTGGATGTAAATGCTTGCCAAGTCACATGGAGCGCAGCCTTGGAAACTTTGAAGAAGTTTTATAAATTTGTCGATGCTTCTAGACGTTTGAGTTTTTAGCCCTTGAAGTATACTTTGTCGTAAAATGGTTGTGTGTTTGGTAGGGCATTTTGATAAACCTCCCAACACGTCTAAATCAGGAATCAAGAACTTTGTTTCTTGGATTTAAATTTTGTTCATGTCTTCCTTGTTTCCCAAAATAACTTGAAACTAGAACCTAGCTTGTTTCCTACTTTTCCACTTCAACCATTGCAGTAGCAATTCCTTCTCACTATCGGAGTCAGCAACCTCTTTGTCGTCGCCACTATTGGAGTCATCAACCTCTTTGTTGTCGCCACTATTGGAGTCATCAACCTCTTTGTTATCGTCATAATTAAGGTACAATACCTTGTCCTCACCATCAAGTAAGCCCCCTTGATCAACTCTATATCCTATGGCGGAACCCTCTGTGATACGATGAAGAGGTCGTCATTTAATTAAGGCTAGCGTAGGGGTCGGGTTCAATACCTTGTCCACACCTCGGGCTAGCCTTAATTAAATTTACGTACTTTTGCCCACAAAAGTGGTACATGTATGCATCCATCCCCCACCACCCAAAAGCAAGGGAGTATATAATAATTTAAATTAATTTGGAGATACATGAGAATCAAATGATGAATTGCATTGCTTCCCGCATTTTCAGCTCCCTCCTCAACCAAATTATTTAGCTCCACATCCTAGCAGCAGGTGAATAGAGCGGAAAAAGGGGAGCGAGCTAATAAGTTATGTGATCGAGAGAATTTATGCAAATCAAAGAGGGTGGAAGGTGAGAAAGGGGGGAATACAATGCTGGAATAGAATAGAAGACAAAAATCCTCTCTTTTTTATTTATTTATTATCTCGGCGCGCGGGCTGGCTCCGATCTAGCTAGCTAGCTAGCTTCTCAAGAAATAATATAATATAATATGGGTGAAAGGAACGCGCCGCTGCCCAAATTCGGGGAATGGGACGTGAAGAATCCGGCGGCGGCAAGAGAATTCTCGGTCATATTCGACAAGGCACGCAATGCCAAGAGAGATGGGGTCCGACCACCGTATTGCACCTCCGCCGCCCGCCGCGACCAGCTGGACTCCCCTGTGAGGAATCATAACAATCATAACAACAACAAGGACGCCCGACCAGCTGGCAACAAAGCCGCCGCCGCCGCCGCCACGTCCCTTAACAACAAAACCGATGGTGGCCATTTTGTCGGGCTGGGGAAACCCGCCGCCTGTCGGAAATGGCTCTGTTGCGTCGGCGGCGGCGGACACGATGACTGACTGATGACCTTCCCAATTCAATTCAGAAAGCAAATTAAAACTCCATCTCCATTTTGTGTATCACATTATTGCATGATGATATGTGAGGTATAGAAGAAGACTCGCATGAATTATTTATTATTCATTAATTATTAAGCACATACTCCATCCCTATTTTAAAACTCTTACTCTTTCATTTTTTTGTTTTTCTTAAAACACTTTCCTTTTCTATTAAAAAACCACTTTTACCCCTACTTTTTCATATCATACCTATCACATCATACTTTTTCACTAATAACTAAACTATCACATCTTACTTTTACCCATCACATCAGGGGTAAAATTGGAAAGTCAACTAAAATTACACTTTCCTTATTTTGCCCCAAAGTCAAAACAAGAACCGTTTTAAGAAACGGAGGGAGTACATGAAGATAGTGACCTCTAGTCTTCTTTCATTTTATTATTTTCTGCTTTGGTTTTATATGAGTGAGTTTACTTCTCCTTCGGCGGCATACCATTTTATCCCTCCCTCCTATAATATTTGTTCACTTTTGATATTTTGCATTTAACTAGTATTGATTTTTGGCCTATAATTAAATAAAAGTTACATGTTCTATTGATAAGGTAACACAAATTTTTGAATATGTTTTACAAGATAAATCTAATAAAATAATTCTTGTATCAATATCTAATATAAAATGTATTTAACCAATGGTTAAAATTTATCAATTTTGACCGCAAAAGATCAAATTCAAACAAATACTCTAGGACATCAGTAATATGTTCATTTTTCATTTTCTTCAGCAAAGCATATGTGGCATTTGGCAATCATACATTATTCATATTGATGGGAAAGGGTCGTGATCGATGTTGAGTTATATATAGTACTTGTGTGAAGAAAATTTCTCTCTTTTTGGAAGGAAAAGCACAACTTCATTCATCATTAAAGATGTGCCATTAGAGCCACCAAAATTAATTGCAACACTACACCTCAAAATAAACACAAAAAAAAAACTCTACATAACACCCTTCCTCCCTTCTTTCCCAAAAAGTTGTTGGATGGAAAACTGCCCAACTAAACATCTCATCTTCATTTGTTTTTTTCTTGTTGTGTAAGAGCTAGCTTGTTCCCTGCCTTCCAAAGGCTGTGACAGGCTGTTGCATATATAGCTACACATTTCAGTCTTGTCTTCCCCTTAATCATCATAAGCTTTTTCAAGATATCCTTCACACTCCCTCCCTCAACATCATTGTTAAGCCAAGGATACAATCCTTTGAGTTTTAAAATAGTAGTGGCTTGACATTGACTAAAAAGATTATCAATGTCCTCCTCCTCTGCCTTACCCCAAATGTCACAGGTTTTGTCAATACTCATGATGAATTTATCAAATTTAGCTTTGGGGCTAATCCTCCCTTTTTGCAAATAAGCCATTGGAGATAGACAGCCTGTTCCATACCAGAGGGTACCACTCAGTTTTCCTCTTTAGTCCTAAGAGTCAAGAATAACCATCTTCTGTAGTGTACTCACCAGCCCATGGCATCTGCTCAAACCATTTTTTATTATTTAAAATCTTCTTCAATTCCAATAGAAAGAGTTGTCACCCTTCAATTTCATGTGCATGTAAGGATGAGGTTAAGGTGTACTTTTTTTTTTGCACGACCAACATAAATATTTTATCATTAACGAGTCACAAGGAATACAGGAGGATTCCTTGTGACTCAGTTCTACTATGTACTAGCAAAATAATAAGCAGGGAAGTTACCTTCCCGCCTAGTAAAAGATCAACAAACTCAATCTAATCTAATATTGGGAAATTTAGCACCAAACTTTTCAGGCAAAGGAAGCAACAAAGTAGTACTCCAAAAACAAAGAGAAACCCTTTTTACGAGGTAAACAACCATTATAAGAATAGTGCAAATACAACTAACCGTCTAGGATTACAACACCAATCCTAGACCCACATACAATATTTAGGTATAAAGAAATCCTTCTAAATCCCCAAGTATAAATGGTAAAACTCCACCAATAACCCACTAAGACCTTTTAGAGTAGGCTGAGTAGCCCTTGAAATATTGTATGAATAAACAAGTTGTACAATCCCTCACCAAAAAAAACACACGGCTGGAGGCTTTTTTGCTTTAATTTTCTCTCCTTGTGATGTGTAGGTACCAAGCCATGCAAGAGACATTAAAAAGGAAGCTAAGCTAAGGCAAATAAATGCAAACTACCATGGGAAAAATGAACTGCCACAGTAAATCACAAGTCGCAAGTGTAACAAATGACCATACATTAATTAAAAGACTAATTTACGTAAAAGAAATTTAAACATACATAGGATCGGTCTTAATTATCTACTCTAACATTTGAAAATGTAAAGTTCTAAAATGCACTGGCTTTGAGAAAAAATGACTTATTATTCAAATTCTGTAGATTAAGACATTATTAAAACAATTTGAATAGTCATCAAAATAATCAGTCATTATCCAATACTTCTTAGGACAATTCCTCATAATATGTCCGAGCTCGCCGCACTTGTAACACCGCACCTCATTCTTAGGTGTATTCTTGGACTTAGACCTCCCATGCTTCGATCCCTAATCCCTGCTAGGCGAACGGCCTCTCCCTCCACCATGAGCAACCGCCGCGACTGCATCATCACTCCTTACCCGAGCTTTGTCTTTTCTCCTCGCATCAAGCGACAACAAGGTAATCGTGTCCTTGCCGCACAAAATGGTATCCAAAGAAGTCTCATAGAGTTAAGAAGAAGCAGTGCCTGATCCTCCTCTTCAATTTTCACATCAATCTACTTCAACTCGTCTACCAATCTGTTGAACACATTCATGTGCCCAACCAAGGTGTCATCATCCCCCATCCGCAAGTGAAATAACCTCCGATTCAAGAGAAGCTTGTTGTTGGTCAAGCTCTTTGCGAAACACAGCTTTTCGAACTTCTCCCATATTTCTGCGAGAGATTCCTCGTCAATAACACAATTAACATCATAATCTGCATTGCACCATTAGATGGTACTAAAACAATTTTCGCACAACTCCTCCCAATCACCGGCACTCTTAGACTCTGGCTTGCTTCCTTCATCTCCTTTTAGGGCTCTAGACAAACCCAGATGCATAAGAAGATCCTTCATCCTTCTTTGCCAAAAGGGTGAAGCTACTCTTTCCATCAAACTTTGGCACGGCAAAGTGAGACCCGAAATCCAAACTTGACATCGTCAATGACTTCTAGAACCACCAGGAACAAAACACGGAATCTACCTCAAATATAAAGTCATTGAATGAAATAAAGTCTTCTGGCCAAGAGCACACCATATCAAAGAGCCATCACTTCAGCCGGGAGACCAATCTGCCTCCCATTCTCTCTTGTCGGGAGCGACCGCCATGCCTCGAGCATCTCTTAATTAAA